ACGGTCTCCACGCGGTTGCTTTTAACCAATCATATTCCTAGAAATGTATATATATAGGAGGTAAGATAATTTCACATATTTCGGTACTTATACATTCTTGGTTCTGACCGTTACTGAGGAAGGTAAATTCAGAAAAGCTCTTCAGACGGAAAAATATATAAAGCGTTTTTTTCATATTACAATGTAAGAAAGGGAATTTGCGAATAAATGAACCTGGAATCATCGCCTTTATTATAGAGCAAAAGAACAGACTCAAAGTACTTAATCTACTGAACTAGAAATCCAGCTAACTTACAATTTCATATCGACAACTGTACTTGAATATAGGTTTCATGAAGCAGTGTCTTGAACAGAACATTATCAAAAGTGTTCAGAATTTCAATCAAGAAAAGAAATTAATGAATCATTGTTATGAAAAAACGCTTTTCTTGATTTACCTTCATCACGGGGGACATTGGAACTCTGTTCTCTTATTCGAACAAGGAACGAGTACAATGACTGAAACCCCAATACTATTTGTATGATCAAAATGGAGTTATGTTTCCTTGTGGTTTTTGATAGTAGTTTTATTTTATTCACAACCCAAAAATTTATCAAAAAAATATTATTTAAAAAAACAGTTCTATTAATTAATGAAATGATACATAATTGATTTACATTTGTGTTTGTTAACTTAAAAAAAAAGTAAACAATTGACATAGTTATATAAGTAATTGTAAATAGTTGAGAAAAACCACATTGTGTAGGCAGTTATTTGAATTTGAAATTAACCGATACTGTCAAATTTGTTGTATAATACATTTTGACAAGAATATTTTGATGAATGACTGATTGTAAATTAAAGAAATAAAATACTAAATATGAAACGCAATTTCCCGAGGTAATGCCATAATCAATGTTAACGTCTTTTTAGTGTTTGTCAAAATTCAAGCCAATGTCACTTAGCCGCTAATTTGAGTGAGAAAGGCATATTTACAACGCACTATTCAAGTGTTTACAAAAACAATTTTGTTATTCCTAATCACAAGGCCCCACGAAAGACACATCGATTAAAAAATTAATTGTACAGAAGAATGTCACATCCACTAAACATTGGTTCTCGTAAATCTTATTGTCATATAAATCGACAAACACAAAACAGTTTTAAGGTCACAAAGATTTATATAACGCATTTTATGATCAAGCAAGTTGAACTTAGGTGAATTTGACTACTCTTTCGAAAAGTTAAATGAAATCCACTCTCACTAAAGCAAGTTCCTACGACAAACCTTGGCTTTTATTCCACTGCATTTCATTTCGCTCTAGGATTTCGATAAATCTACGTGTGCCACATTTTGTTAACTTAAACGTTTTGTTTTCGTTTTCACCCGGGACAAACAAATACCTCGCGTTTGTGCATGTGCATGCTACATTACCAAATAAATTCAAGAAGGCTTTACTATAATTCGTTACAATGTTGATAACCTGCATTTTTATGAATAATTTTTACTGTAATCGTATAGTTCTCTATGTTTCTTTTATTTTAAACGACTTGACTTATTAATTATATGTATATAAGTAGATAAGTTAAAGATTGTAATTAAATGACTAGCAAATTTATTAGCTCAGTTAACTTTTTTTTACTTAGTAGATACTTGTTGATAACACTGCTGGTGGACTGTTTTTTTCTCGATGGTATCATCAGTTTAGTAGTCAAAGCTTAAGGACTGGCATGATAAGCTGACCGTAGATGAATTTGGTTATGCTTTGTGTGTATATTTTGGTCATATATCTCTTACCGTTACTACGTGATTATACATCCCTTGCTTCCAAATGTTAAGGGTATGCTTTCCTGATAAAGATAAATCCAGAAAACCGCTTTGGACGCACGAAACTTGTAAGTTTTTATTGTCATTGACTAACTCTTGGTCGATATTTATGCTTGTGCATTGTAAGTTGTTAGATGGTATCATCAGTCAGCTTAGTATTCAGTACCTTAGAACATGTACTGGCATGATTTGTAACATATTTTTCTAAAATTCCCCGTTGAGTTGATAAATTAAGAACTTACTAAGAAACTACATGGTTCTGACTCCCTAAGGCAAATCTAACCTAAGATGAATTTTGGTCATATCGGTCATAACGTGTATACGTATTTATACATCATTGGCTTTCAAATGTTTAGGTTTCGGCGTTTATGATGAATTAAATCTAGGAAAGTTCATTTCTGTTATGTTTTGGCAACTTTTTCCTTTTCTTTATTAATTTGATCGTTACTCTGTGAAATATAAGCGGTGGATAAAATATCATTCTGCTGTAATATTCCTAAGATTGATATATATTCTTGATCAAATTTATTCTCAATTCAAGGGAAGTTACAGTAACTTTTCAATATGAAATATTATATATAGATTGGCTAATGGTCCAAATATTAATTACATTTCCTAGAATGGATGATTAGAACGAAATGCGATGTGAAATTATTAAATTCCAGATGAACGCCATACAATCTTAATATAAAACAGGTGTTACAAAAAATTTACTTGACAAAGAGGACAATTTCGTATAAGTAACAGCATTATTTAATTTTTCAAATTTGAATAAATAATATAAAAACTTTTGATGTTTGCTGCTTAGGCTTCCAATTTTTTACTTCCAAATTACCAATTCTAAAAAAAAAATATTATATGTTAAATATTTTATATAAATTATATTAAGATGGCTTGTTTTCACAATTCTCGCCTTTATTTTTGTTTGTGGTATTTTCAGATGAATATTTATAACGATTAAAACATGTTAAGAAAGACAATTCATTGCTGAAATACAGATGTTATAAGTAAAATTAAAAATATGGCTGCCATCCAATTTTGAGTGAGAATGATATCGCATATCCAGTCCGGTATGCGGTTTAAATAGAACAAAAGAATTCGAACTCTTGTGTTTAGGAGGTAGAAAAGTGAAATGAACTTTGTGTACGGTTGTCAAGATGACACAAAAGTTACTTTCCGTAAAAACATTATGAATATTTGCATTCACGTTAAAAAATTTTCATATTGTACAACTGTTAACAATGCAACTTGCAAACAATCGTTTTTAAAACGACCATAAGCCAAGTTGTAGGTACGGCAAACCAATGGGAGATAACTCCAAATTACCCTAAATAATTGTTCTCGGATGTGCGTAAAAATAAAATCTTCAGGTGACCTCCGATTACGGCCTCTTATTTACTTGTTAAGTCTCTGAAGGTTCCGATTGCTTTTGATAGATATTATATAAATATTCATGATTCTGTATATTATCATTTACCGGAATACGATGAAATATTTGAGGTACAAACAAGAGTTGAAAGTTACATTCGTTCCAAAACAAATACAAGGGAACGTTATACAGCCATAAAATGTACTTTTTTATATATTTATTTAATAATTAGGTCCAATAAATAAATCTAGATAGCTGTATTCATATCAAAATTAATTTTTATAAATAACCCTCCTTTTTGTGTATACGGAGTTATTTCCCTTGCATGGACAACTTCCTGTTTACTTTTGATTGAAAATCAGCGTGATAGTTGAAGATTTTTGCATTATAAAGTTAGTTTATTGCGATTTAAAAATAGTTTAACCACTTGCCATTGCACACGAGATAGTAAGGATACTGAATAATGTGGTTTAACAACAATCAATATATGTATTTTCAACTAAAACATACATTACATAGGAATAATCCTTGCAGTAGCGGCAGTTTACTTCGTCTGCTATTCACACTCACAGCTAACGTTTTAATAATAAAAACGACATGGCAATTTATTCCCTTGTCGTCAATTCTCCCCTTTTTTTTCCATCCCATATTGATACAAGAAGATTCCTCTACCCCCCCCCCCCTCCCCCCTCCCCCCCTCTTATATGACTGCCACTTTCCAAGTTGAAAGTTATATATAACTTATATCAATATAACTTTCAAAATAATATCGTTTACTGTTCAATACAGTCTGAAAAATGGGGTCATATTAATTCAAATAGTATTAATATGACCCTATTTTTCAGACTGTATTTAACAGTAAACTCTAACGATATAATTTTTTGTATACATATTTTTGTGTGTGTGATCACATTAACTGAATTGTTAAAATTTCCCCCACATATATGTTCTAAATACAATAGTTTAATTAAATACTACACACATTTAATTTGCTGATACTAAATCATGGCATTCTAAGAAATTTCAAGCGTTGGCATCTAGTGTATTTGTATTTCAGATATCATCATGGAATTTCCAAAAAGAACTATCAAGAAAATGAAACATAAGAGCATTTTACAGTATTTATTCAATCATGAAGTTGGAAATGTAAGTAAGAATAGAAGATATGATCTAAAACTTGCTTTGAACATGTGTACTGAACTTGCTTTGTATGACTATAATGACTTCTTTCAGAAGCAACTAATTTACCACTTAAACAAAATAATTGACTGCTCAAATGCAAGAGCCATTTTTATCATAAATTTCTTAGAAGAACTTATTTGTGATGTAATCGAGCCATGTCACCCAGACAAAATAGATATAGTCTTTATATATGTCTGCATGAGATCAGAATTTGTCAAATATGGAAAACTGAAAAAAATGAAGTGCATAGTAGCAGAACAAATTGCTAGTGATTTATTAAAAAACTTGAAGAAATGGTTTGATGGTATATTCTAAGCCTTAAACTAAAACAAATATTTAGACTCAATTACAAAATGCCTCAGATAACATACTTCAAAAATTTGATTCCACTCTTGGATAAACATAGCCTGTCAGACTTTGATATTGTTTTAAACAGACAAATGGCATTAGATATATTTGATTATGTCAAATCAAAAAGTATCAATCAAGACAAAATGTGTAAGTGGTTTACAGAAATAACAAAAAACAATATAGAGAAAAAAACTTTGGTTACACGGTTGCACAGACTGAAAAAAGAAGTAAGTCGAAAAAGAGGCCTAGAGAAGGCTACTTTATTAACAAATATTTTTAATACATGTAATATGTGTGCAAGTGACTCCAAATTACAAAATCTCAAGTCTACAGAAGATGCTACTTATAAAAGAATAGCAGAAGATTTAGCTAATGAATTACAAATAAGTCAGGAAAAGAAGTCAAGTGAAGTAAATCAGTTGAAAAGAAAATTAGAAAAAACTGTTGATCTTCAAGAAAGGAAAATAAAGAAAGTTAAACTGAAAAACAAAACTTCAAGTGAAAATCTTAAATCTAAAGTACAACAGCAAAATAGTAAAATTAAAAAGTTAAGATGTAGTTGTAAGAATTACAAAACTCAAAACAGAAGACTATCATCCTGTGTAGTAAAACACAAATCATGTGCTAAAGAATTAAGGAAGAATTTAACAGACATAGAAAATATCAATAAGAGCAAAACAGATGAAATTAAAAAATTAAAAAGTGAACTGAATAAAATTCAGAGTTTGTACAAGGACGCATTAAAACAGTCGAATGAACATGCAGAGCTTGTAAGTAACCTTAAAACAAACCTAAATGACTCTATGCAAACAAGGGATTACCTTCATTCTTTAATTCAAGACGATAAAGAAATAGATATTTTGGATGATAAGTTACGTGCATATACACCAGAATTTAGACAAGCCGTCATGAACATATCTGGTAAGAATGTAGCAACGGAACACATAGTATCCGTTATCAATGAAAGTCTGAAATTAGCTGGTAAAACATTGAAGCAAATTCCGGCACGAAGAACCATTGATAATATTGTAACAGAAAAGGTTGTGGTAAGTAATATTCAGGTTGGACAGTGTTTGCAAGACAAACAAAAAACAACATTATATTCTGATGAACACGGAAGTTTGGAAAGACATATAACAGCTACTTTGTAAGTGATGATCATAAAAATGTATACATGTTAGGTTTGAGGGAAATGCACAATAAAGCATCCTCCACAACTTTAGATACTTTTAAGGAGATTTTAACAGATATATCTGAATTGTGTAATGGTAGTTTAGAAAACAATGAGATATCACATGGATATAATATATTATGTAACATTCGAGACTTCATGTCAGACAGGACAAAAACAAGTATAGCCTTTACAGAATTATTAATTGATTACCGTAAACAAATTATGCCAGAAGTTGTTGATGGGTGGGATGATCTGACAGATGTACAAAAAAATGCCTGTTCTACTGTAAATAATTTCTTTTGTGGATTACACCTACTTGTTAACTTTGCAGAGTGCACAACACCTGCGCTAAAAGAATTTGAAGTCCTACATAAAGAGGACAATGTTGTGAATGACCTTGAAAATGAGTTCGGTGTAGATGAAAGAGATGACATTTTTTTATCAAAATTTGATGGTGATGTTATAACTTTTTTACGATTCTGTGCAAAAAGTTTTGCCAGAGGAGTTGACGAGAAATGTGGTTGTTTCGCTTATTTCAATTCATATTGTCTTGAGAAGAATGAAAAAAATAACTTCATTTCTTTCAGAGGAAACAGATTTAACATTATTTTTCTTATGGGTGAAATTGCTTTTTACCATCGAAATCATGTAGTAGATTTTTTGCAAAATGTGCATGGTGCAAATAATTTCCTGCAAAAATCCACGCTTTCTCTGTGTAGATCAAATCTTGTATTAGCTGACTGTAAAGTGCTGAGGTTAATATCCAAAATTATAACTGCGCCATTGTGGCGCCTCATTGAATTAACTGATAGACATGTTTTAGAAATGAATGCTTATTATGAAATGCTTCTAGACTTCTTTGATGAAAATAGCAAAGATGCCAATTCCTTCATAAATTTCATAAATTGTGAAGTATTTCCATTCGATGAGGATTTAACTCATAAAGACAAGTACTTTGATTGCTTAAAAATGCCAGATGATCAGATAGACACCCTGGCCGTGCAGGTAGCACAGACTTTGTTTGCTTCTTTTTATAAACTACTTAAAGTAGCGATGAAGGATCAACTGCCAGGAGGTCTATTTTATGTAGCATCACCAAAGTTAACTGCTGAAACTTTATCAGTTATACCACACAACAAGCTACCAGAAAGAGCATTTGGGATGCTTGATTTCATGGTCAGATTTAGACCTAATGCTTCAATATTAACAAATGAATAGTTTATAACATTTTCATTCAACAAAACACACGAATGGTTGGATAGTTTACCCAAAGAAGAGAGAGATAAATTACTGACAGATGCAAGGAAACAAGGTAGAGTATTAAGAGGAAAATTTAAATTGAGGTGTTCGGAAATAAAAAAAGAAAAGATTAGAATCATTAAAGAAGAAACAAGAAGCAGTGAGGAAAAAGAAAGAAAACAGCTTCAAGAAGAAGGAAAAACAAACGTCAGAAATTATTTTCTATGGATTATGGCAAAGTTCAAGTGTAGCAGATGACATACTAAGGTCAATAACCAAAACAAGTGAGAAACGGAAGGCATTGATCGCGCAGTTAAGGTTCCGGCAAAATGTGTTGAAGCAATATGTTAAAGATAAGAAAATATTTAATGCATCTGTAAAAGGAAAGGCGCTAAGTATAGAAGCTCTAACAGAAAATGTTAAAAAGCTCATTGAAGAGGCTGCTAGTAAAGATGTTAGTGAAAATATTCAACAAAGGTCATCTAGGATGCCAATTCGTGTTGGGAAAAAAGTAAGACATACTTTCAACGAAGGAACATTCACTGCCAAAGTAATTTCAACAGTACCCGGATTTCCAGACTACTATAACTTAATATACGATAATGAATTAGACAGTGAAGGGAAGGTAACGGACACTACAGCTATCTACACATACAGACTATTAGAGGATTATCGAGCCAAAAAACTTGAGATAATACCGGAGGTGGTAGGTCTAAAACCATGTTCGAAGTTCTGTTCAAGATTCGTTCTGCATGGAGTTGCACAGGAAGTGCAATTTTCTAATATGATTTCAGCATGATCATGTATAGGAATACATGAACTAATCCATGACACTTGTTTACACCAAAACTTTACTTTGAGTACATGTGCACCCATCAAGTTTTAACTTGGAGCTTCCCACATTCTGTATTGATTAGTATTGAAGTAATTTCATGGCCAGAAAAAAAAACACTAGTGAACACCATGCAATTTAATATATATCCTGAAATAATATTATATCTGGGAAGCTTCAAGTCATACTAACAACTAATGCTTGATACAGTGAAACCTGTATAAACCAAACCCTGAATAAACCAGAAACCATGTTCTGAAGTCCCTTCATCTCAGATCCAATGCATTTTGAACTTCAGTCATGAATGAGTTTGGTTTAGACAGATTTCACTGTATAAATATTGTAAATAATATACAGATATCAATTTACTTTACTTTTATACATACAAGTCTTTACAGTGATCTGACAAAATTATTTTGTATGAAATTTCTCAAATAAAAATAATGTAATATTTATATTCATTGTTTTTCAGTGCAACAGGTATTTTAGACCTATAGTATAATTGTTGGAAGGTTGTTGTTTATTTTTATTTATAAGCATTCACTATATAAGAATAAGAATATTTCATTAAATAGAAAGTTAATGAAAAGGAACATTCTAAACTATCATGAGTGAATGACTATATAAAGACAGATGACATATTTCGAAACTTGTCTGGTGTCTCATGGTACACACACACATATACATTTGTATATAAAGAGTAATTTTCATATTTATATTTTGTTTCTTTACATTTAAATGTTTATATAGCTTTATTTTTCATTTTCAGTATACCAATTGATGTTCTGAAGACAGGAATTTGGTGCAATATATAAAGGTATCGTCATAATTAATGTTATGTGACTTTGGACGATAGAATTTCATGAGAGTGGTTGACATTTTCATGCTTTATGCTTCTATTTTGACCAAAAAACTGAACATGGAGGATTGAAATTGACTAACAAGATGTAAAAGAAGCAACATAAACAAAACTATAACCCAAATGATTAGAAATACACATTTTATTATTTTTTAAAGAGAGGAAACAGTTTTTCTAGATTAGTGAAAAATTACCATTTTGAAAATTTGCTATTTCTTCGTTGTTATTATGTGTATTGATAAAAGTGAAACTGTTTTGAAAATGTCTTCACAATGCCTTTAAAATGAGGTAAAGTTTTCTTGGATCAGTTGATTTTTAAAAAATCACTTTTCGTACCTACAAGTTGTTACGTCAATTAGGGGTCTCCTTATAAACTGCTACTTTTTTTTGCCCGACATAGAAAAAATCTAAGAAAAATTACGAATATTGAGAAATGAATTATCAATCGGTTAAGACCATTCCCAAAGTGGCACACCTAAATTTTACATTTGTACGCAATTTCAAAGTTGGGTGTTATATGGCGGGGTTTTCCTCATTGATTAACGCATCGAACACACCCCGTCCTATATATGTAACATCACATGACTTTTTAGTGATTAAAACTATTATTTAAAAGTTATATTTGCATGTTTGACATGTTTTTTTCTTAAACAATAACAATTACTCCGACAGTCATAATTTCTGTATTATTTAAAAAGTTTTGTTACACATTTTGTTACACCTTAGTTATGCGGTAACCCGGATTGGTTGGCCATTGTCAAGTTGAGTTTTTGGGGTAGCATAGATTTATATCGTTGTATTCCTCTTGTTTGTGTTAAACAATTGTACTTTCGCAATTTATTTTTTATACATCTTATATTGATCTTGTAATTTAGTTTGCGTCTTATTTCTTTGGTGTCATGTTTTGGCTATGTTTGTGTTCGATCATACAGTATTGACAAGTCGCCAATCTTGTTATTTCTTGTACTCTTTGCGTCTTATTTGTTGATTGCAGTTGGGTTTTTTTTTTTGTTGTCATGTTTCGATCGTACAACGTTTTAAAAATCAACAGTTGCCCGCCGACATGGTGTGATGTTTTTTTTCTTTTGATGAGTTTGCATCTTAAATTGGGATTGCAGTTGTTTCATCCGATTTCTTTTGTGTTATATTTTCGATACATTTTTATTCGATCTTATAGCATCTTACAATTGTCCGTCGACATAATGTGATATTTTTTCTTTGATCGCTAATATTATTCATAAGATTTGATTTAATATTATTTAATTTTTTTTCTTTTCTTAATAGTTTACCCACAGTCGAAAATTTGTTAGACATTAAGAGTCGTGCATACGAGATTTTGACTTAGTTAACTGTTTTACATTAGACTAAATTTTATTATAGACTCGATTGTATTATAGTACTTTACTTAAATAACTGTTCTACTGTTAGTTGTATGTTAGTTCTTCACAACTCAGAAACAGATTCAAGAATATTAAAGTTCTTTGCATAAGACCTCACTAATATTTAATTTAGTTTTTACCTTATACGATGGCTCGATATAATTTCAGTTTTTCTCATACATGTTCACTATTACAACTACTAGTAGTACACGAGTGTCTTCATATTTCATGTACTACACATACGTATATATTACTCTAGCGTGTATTCATTCTTGTTCAAACTTTTGGGGTCCTATTTAGAGCTAACAATGTCGCTACTAGTGCCCCATAATTAGTATTGTTTTTGAAAAGATTATTTTAAGGATAATTTAAAAATTAAGTCTTGAAATTGCATTTGTGTTTCATGAAGTAGTCAACAAAAATCTTTTACGTATTAACCCAAAGTGTGATGAACTTCAAATCTAAACACAAATGCCTATTGTGCGTGAAATGTTAGTCAACCAATTATTGGCGGTGTTTTTATAACTCATGCAAACTCTCAGATTATCTTCAATTTGGTCTAACAGTATGTTTAACATACGGTCGGATGATTGTATCTGCAATGTATGCAATATAAAAATGGCGAAATTATTTCAGGAAAGCCACCATGTAAAGAACAAAAAAAAAACAGACATCCATCAGTAATGTGTAAACATCGGACAACATAACCTTTAAATACTTTACATGTCAAAGTTTTTGGAAGTTATGGAGGAACATATTATTGAGTCGCCAACTAATCCCACCAAAGTTTTTCTTTGCGAATCGCGTTGTAAACGATCGCGGGACACGATACATTTCTTGTCAATAACATATAGTATGCCACATTGGTCTGAGAAAATCGCCCACCAACGCGATCTTTGTCAAATTCCCGACTTTGACGTTATACTAATTATTTGCTTGCAATCAAGAGGAAGAATATCTTTAATTATCAAAAGAAAGCAACATCTGTGAAACATGCAACAATACTCTATCAAAGCAAGCCAGGAAACAATCCCTCAACAAGAAAGCAACCATTTAACTTCAAAGGGGGGTATGGTTTTCTTGTCTGAGCTCGAACATTTTTTATCCGCCTCCATCAATCAAATAATTTTTTTTTCAAAATTTAACACTATAAGGTATGGGGAAATCAGAATTCATAATATTTTTTGGTTATAAATTTTGCCTGACAACAATATTTTTTCCATCGAATTGGGGATCAGACGATATTTTTTTTGGAATAAATCTTACTCCTCCCCCTTTTTCACCTTTTGAAGTTAAATGGTCGTTCCCTTATGTAAATAACCAGCACAAAGACTTTCATTATCTTTTTTCTACATTCCAAGACGACCTTCGCACTGTTCAAACCAACCTTGAAAACGTTGTTCTTACACATAATTACCTCCATGTTATTGTCTCAAGTCTGATTATTTAAAGACAAATATTTCAGTCTCTGCACTCAACACTTACAATCAACCAAGCCGTCGCTAACACGGTGCTTAAAAGAACAGCGGCTTGGATTAAAATTGTACTTGTAGACAGTCTTTGATAATCTGTTACAGTTTTATACAAGAGTAAGTCCTTTGTTGTTAATAATAAAAACGGAACTATTATCATGTTTTGGAAAATATCGACAATTTGCTTGATATTGACAAATCAAAAATTCAAGTCACATGGTAATTGTTGGGGATGCTAAAACCTTCAACATATTTTGTAAGTTTAAAAATGAATATACTGGAGACCTTTTTTGTGTGTTAACATTTCCGGTTGACTGGCATATTTTATAGAATGTACAGCCTGTTTTATTTAAATTTATTTTCATCATGATGCTGGTCTTAAAAAGATAACGAAAATTAAGCATATGTTCTTTTAACTGTTCTTGAACAGAACTCCAATCTAAAAAAAAAGAGTTCAGATGATCAAGTTCTTTTAACAAAGAGATAGGGCACTGCTATATCATCTCAGCAATTATATCACAAAAAATACAGCTTGTGTTAGTAAATATATGAAGCAGAAGAAAAACAACTGTGCATCTGAATTACCATCAGTATTACAAATATATGAAGGATACATTAACATCCCTTCCGTTAGGGAGCCACCATTTGATTTGTATGGGGGTTAGGAAGAAATTTAAAAAAAAAAGGCAGGACAGGAGTTTTGATTAAAAAAAAGGCAGGATGAGCAACTTGGCAAAAAAAAGTCAGGATAAACTATTAAAAAAAAAAGGCAGGACCGAATAGAGAAAAAAATAAAAAGGAAGGACAGAGATTACAACTAAAAAAAGATGCAGGACAAAATTTTTCATCCTAGCCCCCCCCCCCCCCCCCCCCCCCCCCCCCCCCCCCCCTAAAAATCAAATGGTAGCTCCCTTATGGATAAATTTGACAAATTCTGTATAGAAAAAAAAAGACAGTTCCTATTGTGGGATAATTTTATTCATATAGATTATTTCTCCTTCATATCTTTATATATTGCTTTCTATAGTTCAAATTGGAATCTCAGATTAGCATCACTTTAAAACCTCTCCCCTCTGTTCCATGCCTTTGGTCGACATATGTACTTCAGAATAATTCCAAGACATCTGACTGTCAGATGTATAGCAGAACGTCCACACAACATTTAAACGTGCTTTCAAAGTGGGGGCTTTTCTGTCAGTGTAACAGGTAGGGCATGTCAGTTGCTTGCACTAGACGAGGCTCTTTAGTCTCTTATACACTGTGATGTTAAGGAATCTATTCGGGAACAATCTCCATAACTTCTTGATAAAACTACTGTCTATCATCCTTTTCGACACTGCAAAAAAAAAAATCAAACAAGCAATTAAAGTGGGGGTTCCAACCACATGTTCCCCATACAAACGGATCTGAACACAGGACTCTTCCCCGGATCTGCCACTGGATTTATACATCAGATGCATCACAAAATATATACATGTTATGATATATACTAGTATATGAAATAAAGAAAAATATAAAAAGAAAATGTTGAATTATCATTAATGTCTACGAAACCACCAGATCCTACTTAATTGACCATGTTTTCAAATCATATCAAATGTTTCCATTGGTCTTTACTTGTTGGATAAATGTACTGAATTTATTGTTAGCTAAATTATCAATGTTCGGTTATTGCCTTTTCTTTAGAGCTGTCTGTTTAACTAATGAATTGAAAAAGAGGGGATGGATATACGTATTTAACATTTGGCTATATTTTAAACATATTTAACAAATATGTGAGAAAAGTTAGGTTTAGAATACGAAATATCTCTCTTATTCTGTAAACAGGTATTGTAGGATTGTTAAGGTATTTCGGTGTTTTTAAAGCACCCCCCCCCCCCCTTTTTGTAATATACACCACAAAAACATTTAGTTAGGATAAAGAACCAATAACCAGTAGTCCTATAATATAAGACTTCGGAGGTTCATTTCATTTACATTCAACGTTTTTTATCGGATTTGTTTTTACTATCAATGTTGAATATAGACTTCGGAGGTTCATATCATTTACATTCAACGTTTTTATCGGATTTTTTTTTTACTATCAATGTTGAATTTCATATCATTTACATTCAACGTTTTTTATCGGATTTTTTTTACCATCAATGTTGAACCGTTCAACATTGATAGTAACAAAAATCCGATAAAAACGTTGAATGTAAATGATATGAACCTCAGAGGTCTTATATTATAGGACTATTATATAAGACTTCCGAGGTTCATATCATTTACATTCAACGTTTTTATCGGATTTATTTTTACTATAAACCGTGCAACATTGAAAGTAAAAAAAATCCGATAAAAAACGTTGAATGTTAATGATATGAACCTCCGAAGTCTTATATTATAGGACTACAATAACCCGGTAAATAGAATAATTGAAATTGAGTTAATTATGTGTGAGAGGCGCTTTCTAGCAACTTTATGAGTGTGTATTATATAATGTTACAGTGTAACAAACCTATCAAACACACCCGTAAAAAATAACATTATCTTCCCTTGAAATGCTTAACAACAAGACACAAAAAACTGCTACCTTTTTTCCCCTATATCACATAATTATGAAAACACATTAGATAGATAGGGGATACTGTGGTTGTGTACATGTTTGAATGTGTAGGTGGCACACTCAGAACGATCGTCTCTAGATTTTTAAAAAATTTTCTACCATCGGTTTCCGGGTTCTCGTAGCAACACGTTTCTTTCCCTTCCAGCTATTCCTGATTATGAATTAATCTAAAACATGCATTTATCCTAAAGCAACAACTATTAAACAACTCACCTATACCAATGGGGATCGTCTAATTCCTAACTGATTCCTTTAATCGTACCTGTCGAAATGTCCGTTGATCTGAGTAATATGGGTTCGTTGATTATTGGTGTATAGCGCCACTTTCAGAAAACTTGACTATAATTAATATCACGGTGGAAAGTTTTTATTGGTGGGGGAAGCAGGAGTACCCGGATAGAACACCCGATCTTTGGTAAGAAAACAGGCAATCCTAGTCAATTAAGATCGGAGTTAAACGCACCCTGTCACTAGCGGGTTTCGGAATCACAACGTTAGTTTTGTTGGTCTCGCTGTCATTTCGGAAAGTATGAAACATGCTAGTAAGAGCTGATGAGGAAATACTTAGACCACTCGGCCACCAAGGCCCTCGGATCAAATATACGTCTCTGTCCGGATTTATCGACGAAACGTTATAAAAATTTAAAATCGTATAGTTTTTCAATTGTACAATTCACATAATAATGTAAATGTTAAAAAGGTTTGTGTAAATCATCATCATCACAAAACAATGTGTTCAAATCTTCAATTATCCGACAACTTCCCCAATCCATCCGTACTGGCTTCATGTAGAACCTAGAGTCTTATAGGCTAGTCAGAGCTGATTTGCCTTTAAAACTACCATCCCATTCAGCATGCTTTTTCAAGGGTTGGGGGACAAAAGATG